GAGAAGCTGGAGCTTCTAATTCATACTCTAGACTAGTCCCGTATATCATGCCCTATATGACTTCCCTGTAAGGAGTTTACGCTACAGCTCATATTAAGTGAGAAGTCTCTACAGTGGGGCTCCCTCTTTTGTTTTGGGGAGGGTGAGGCTTCAGGCTTTGTAAGCCCAGAGTCTTTGGTGTCTGCCGTACACGGGCAGCCTTATAAGCTCAACTTGTAAGGGGCTAATAATAGGGCCTTTTCCGGTGTATGAGGGGGCCACCGCCTAGCCTAAGGGGCCTAATAGAGCCTATGCAAAAAGAATACGTTTTCAAGGTACATTATACTGAATAAGAATGATAAGGGGAGAATAAAGACAATCATCTACTCAGGCGCAACACTAGACGATTAGAGCAGGGACTACAATAAGGATCCTTTTTCGTCCCCGACTGGCCACCGGCAAGGTTTAGGCTTGGAGGCTCCAACTTTATCCTGGAACTATAAGCCCAACATGCTTTAAATCACCACCATGTGAAAAATTCGCCTGTTACCCCCTTGTGTTTCTTATTAAAGCCCCTCCTAGCTTAGTACTTTGCCATGAGAGCTTAGGGTTTAGGGTTCCTATGCCTGTATTAACCTGCCCCAGGAGACCCTGCAAGTTGATTTTAGAACTCCTGCATGGCCCTACTAAGTACTCTTACTTTGGGAATTCTGGCGTTTGAGTTTTGTACCCCTAAACTATCCTAAGCCTAAACCCTAAGCCTAAACTCTAAACCCTACAGGTCATTCAGGATTTTTTAGTAAGAGCCAAAACCCCCTGAGTTTCTGACTCAGAGTCCCTCCTAGAACCCCGTCCCAGCGCCCTGGGAGGACCTAAAAGACTTATCCCTTATCTACAGCAAACTCCGTACATCCCCAACATATTCCTTGTACACTTCCCCATCTCATCTGAGTCTAGGGGATCTAATTCTTGGATCACTTTTGGAACCTGGGTTGCTACTGAAATGGTAGTTTCCCAAAACAGGGGACCC